CCATTACTACCAAACTGACCAATATATTGACCAGTAGTAGCTAAGAAATACTGCACATGATGAAGATTAGCATCAGACACATAGAGCCTGTCTCCTACCAGCAATAAACCCCAAGGACAATCAAACTGTCCATTACCATTACCTTTAGATCCAATCCTTCTTACTGCAGCACCATCCTCACTAAATACCTGAACAAACCCATCACTACTAGCAAATACTTCACCATTAGTATGAACAGCAACACCATCGGTACCATTCCCCACATCAAAGGATCTCTCGTTAGTTAGTGTGGTATAGTCTCTTGATGCTTTTACTGACAGTTGATAAGGACTACCTTTAATATGGTGACCTCTTATAGTCACTGATAGTTCATATCCACCAATACTTTGAGGTGTGCATGATACAATGGCTGTGTTGTTATCATTAACTATAACAACTCTACCCTCCTCTTTACTTCCATCACTTTTGATAAAGGAACCCTTCAAATAGCTTGCTGCTTTATCAATGCCTGCTGGTAGAGCCACTTTGAATTTCCTTTCTTTCCTTACTGTTGCCAATGGAATAGCTAACCCACTATCAATGGAGTATGCAGCTATATCTACACTTCCAAACTCCTTGATCTCTTTACTTAAAGAAAGCATATCTAGACATGTTAAAATGGCTCCTTTGTCTTCTATTTCTAGAGGTAGTTTCTTATACTCTTCAATGCATTCCTCTAGTTGATTGGTGATTAGCTTCTTAACACTCAGAACTTCACCTGGATCAGTACGCTCACTCACTGATGATGCAAGATGACGACCATGAGAAACCTGTTTTACAAGTTTACGAAACCCATCCAACTGCTTCTCAACAGAATTTTTCTTAGCGTTAGCAATCTCTTCTGTCTCCATTAGTAGATCATTGCATCTCTTATCTAAAGCAGCTTTAAGCTCTTCAAACGTTTCCTTGATTTCCTGCCTTACTTCTTCTTTATGTGTTGCTATCTGCTCTAGCATTTTCTCTCCATTAGCAATAGCTTCAGTGACTGGAGGAATGACTCCATCACAACTAGCAATACTTTCCTTTAATGCTTTACGTGCTGTATCACCTTCATCAAGGTAATCATTGTAATTGTGACTTTTATGCTTAACGTTAAGACAAACTGGACAGACCAGTTTATTGCAATCGTTGCAATAGTATGTCAGTTTTTGGTCTAAATGTCGTGCACAGTAAACTGCCTCATGCTTAATAGCAGGCAATTCTACAGATTCCTTTGTTTCTAGGTCAATCAACTTGTGATTGGCTTCTTTCTTATTTCTCTTATGACCTTTCTTACAAAAATCACACA